ATTAGCTTTGGCACGCCTAACAGGCTGTCAAAAATAATTTCCCAGAACGTAAATAATTCAGAAATTAAAAATTAATAAATAATAACAGAGAGCTACTGGGAGATAGACTGGGTCAATTAGTCAGCTCTGCATTCTGTTTCTTCGCAGCAGGGGGGCAGCCACATTCGTTACTAGAACCTTTCCTCCCGATTCCTGGGTCTGATTTACGGCTCTTCATTACTGGATCCAGTCAGACACAATTACCTCCATCACTATCTCAGTTCCTAACTTCAAAGAAACACACATTTTCTTGTCTGCTTTTTTTCTCCTTGCAGCAGCCTCAGCTTGACGTCCCTGGAATTTCTTCCACGCGGACTAATTAATAAGACTTTGACTTATCATATTCACTTCTCTTCTTTGATGTCCTACCTTAGTCAATCATCCTATTTAATTAGAATTTCAATGATAACTTTACTTATCTCGTGGCTAGATGTAAATTAAAATAACGGGATTTTAATTCTCTTTCTTATGGGGTTATGACATTTTTGACAGAAAAAGTTTCAACCCAAATACGATGTTATGTACTTCCTATGCTAAGAGTGCATTCCACTAAATTGTTTTTCCCTTTGCTACAAAATAATTTTGCTTGTTTAACAAGCTCCACTGAAATGGAAATGAACTTCAGTTTCTTGTAACATAATTTGCACAGGTCCATGTTGTGAAAGGTTGCATTGATATAAATGAATATAATCAGATCATGACACATGTCACATAGTTAACAAGGAAAGGAAATGTGATTTTTAAGAAAGAAAAATATCTCCAAAGAGGCAACAGACCACAGGACTTTCCCCCCGTTTCTGCCCTTTCAGTCAGTTCCTAGTACATTTGGAAAGTTTCTTATTTCCCTTCGTCATTTAAAGGCCCAGTCCTGCTGTTAGTATTCAAGCAGCACCTGAGGTTGAGTTCTGATTAAAACAAGATGTGTTTGGAACACATGTGCCCGGCTGTTCATAGAAATAGTATTGTGGTTGTTAGCAGGAACAGTAGATCCCTCAGCTACCACATTTTTTTCTCTTTAGTACCTAGCACGTGCATGCATGCAGGCTTGCTTTCTTTCCCATGCCCTTTCCAATTTGTCAGTCGAGGTCAGTAAAACAACAAGCGAATGAGTCACTCATTTTTAAAGTGAGCCTTATGGTGTAGAAGAGCCCATAGGACTGCAGAGACCGCTGCAGAGGAGGGAGCCACGAGGAGATGTTATCCCAGCAGCAGGGTCCCAGTGGGGCGCGGGAGATCCCTGGAAGTGAGGCAGGACAGTCAGGGAAAATAAAGGAGGATGCTTTCTAGGGGTCCAGCTTGGCAAGCTTTACTCACGTGGGCACACTTGCTCTTACGGTAATGGAACTTTCCATGTAAGTGACTGGTTGTATACATAGATACGCGTCTTCGAAAGAAAGAAAGGTAAGGAGAGGACTGTGTGAAGAAGAAAGCAAGAATAGTCAATGTACCAAGAAATGGTCTTAAACTTTGAACAAAGCGTTCTTTTGGTACAATAAATGGAATACGGCTACAACTCGCTGTCCCGGGCCAAACGCTACCCTTTAGTAATCTTCTGTCAGAGATTATTATTTTTCAAATCTTCTCTGGCAAAAAAGGGTTTTCAGTTTTATACCTACAGTAAGAAAACACACCCTGGAAAACAACCTCAATTTTATGGAAGAAAGACCACATCCTCAGGCCCTATGCATCCACTGATATCCTGGCAAGGAAAAAAAATGCTTTTTCAAGGATGCCTCTCTTGCTTTTTCAAGTTGAGAGGTTTTGCATTTGCTATTCTATGCCCTTGGTTGTATTCGAGCAAAGTAGGAAGTGCAGAAAGAGTTCACAAGAAGGGTCGGACACTGGAAAACACTGCTCCGGAAATAAATAGTTCAGGTCTGTGGAGAGGAAGGAGTAATTAAGGGGGGGAAGGGAGGCAGGCAGAACCACTTGACCAGCACCAGTCTGTACAAAAGAGGCTTAGTGAGCTCCTGCTTCAAATATTATCTCCCCATTAGATAGCATTAAACCCGTTGCCATAAAGCTAACATTTTTTGATTCTCTTGCAAACCATTTGCCTGACTGCTGTGTTCCTCTTACAAAATGAACTGAAGATGTTTGAAAAACTAGACCAGAGCATCGGCAGAAGTGAACCACTGGAATTTAATTGACAGCTCTTACAATTTGTATCAGATGAGGTTAGAGTCCAAATTGGATGAGCTCAAAAAATATCAGTAGCATTGTTTCACAATAAAATAGAAACCTGTTGCATTTATAGTATCTAAACTATTCCATCATAATTTAATAGTGTTGTTCTTTAACAATTGTATTCTGTTACATTTTTATAGTTAGGCATGATTATTTAATCTAATTTAATTGGCTTTCTAATTCCCCTCGGGGTTCTGGGCCTAGAAAGTTCATATTAAATACTCTAATTGCGCTGAAATGTACTTGTATGAAATATGCTCCTCTTTTAAATGCATCCTTCTATCTAGTTCATACATATTTTCTCTTCTTTATTGAATTTAAAAAAATTCTGGTGTCCGTAATTTGCACTTAAAAAGAGTCAACAATTAACCAAAATAATAATTACAGATAGAAAACAGGGAGGATGCCACACAATGAACTGCGAATAACAAATCTACGAATAAGGCCAGGGGCGCACATCAAAGGTTTCTAAGTGCGCACTGCTCTCCAGAAGGAAAGCCGAAGCAGCCAACAATGGCATCCGTTTCCTACGTATTCTGTGCAGGGGTCCCTGTTTATAGTTGTAGAGTGTTGTTAGACCAAAGGAGCAACAGGGTATTTCATGGCTAATAGCCTTTGGGCCAAATTCTGCTCTCATGGTATGCAATGATTTCCCATTGACACTAAAGGGAGCGAAGACTTTGGCCGCGTAAATCGGTGTCGGTTACGATATTGCCCCCAGCGCGTCCTCACGGGCTGCGTGAGGGAGAGGGTGGACTTTGTGCCGCGCTGCAGGGCTGCCGGAGCAAAACCACCACCCGCAACGGAGGCCGAGGAGCAGAAGGAATTGAAACACATGTTTTAACATCTCTTGCTCTTTGATGCTTCAGTGCCACACAGCAGGACGGGAGCAGGATCCATTAGGGAGCCAACAAATGAATAACATGGACCTTCCCCTTGCCAGCCAGCTGCTGATTTCCAAGGGAAAAGGCCCACTATGCTTGTCAGCACACTTCTCAGCTCGTCAGGGACCTGCACGCGTCGGGCAGGAGCTGCAGCAAAGGCCGCGGAGACGAAACGTAGCCGGCGGGATGCCTTCCAGCAAGCGCTCCTTTCCTCGCTACGAAACTGTCCTACAGAAGAGCAGGCGCACAGAGGGTGCTGCTGGTTTTAGGTACACTTCTGGGCTATAGTACTTTGGCGCTGCAGGCCGCGCATTCTTGAACCCTGCATCACCCTGCAATAGCACTGCGAGAACTGGAGAGTTAAACCCGCTCCTCATTGAACCTAGTAGGAAAACAGGCTTCAAGCGGGACCGGAATTTTGCCCATAGATGTTTTGCCTAAGAGCGCACCATTCCCAAAATGCGTTATCTGTCCTTTTGGTGCTGAAAATCACGTAAAAGTGAGCTGTAATTCAGAGCTTTGAACAGCAAACGTAGACATTTCTTATGGGCCTAAACCTACATAAGTACCATAATGAGGAACAAAATATTTATTTGAGAAAAGAAGCTGATGTTTGCAGTAAGAAAAAGAGGAAGGGGAGAGAGCGTGTTTGTAGGACCCCTGGGGAAAGTGGAGCCTCCGCCGCCAAGAGGTACGCGTGGTGGTTTACCACGTCCTCGCCCGCGTTAGTTCCTCTCTCCCAGCATCACTGGTCTCAGGTCGGACGCTACAGCCCTGCCGGCTAGGCAAATCCTGCCGTTGGTCCTGCTTTCCAGTAGCACAGCTGCGGCAGCGGGAAATCTTAACCTACCAAAATATGAAAATGAGCAAAAGAGGGGGGAATTCGCCGTCTGGTGGAACCGTGCCGGGGCCGCTCGTGGTTTCTGCCCCCCTTCAGGCAAAAGCAGTGCTAGCGAAACAAAGAAATACAACATTTGCATAAACGATGGAACTATTATAGGAGACTGAGATAAAAAAGGGCACGCCTGCCCTGCAATTTTTTTAGTTGGTGGTTTCACCCAAAAGCCATACCAACACTGCTACCGAGCAGCAGCCTCCGTACAACATGGCGGCGCCCTAT